CTTGAAAATGGCTAGCTGGGGAATTCTGGGAGTTGGCGTCCACCCATCTTCAAGTGCCAAGGTTGAGAAACACTGTTCTACAGGAAAGGCAGCATATAAATCTACCAAATAATTAAAAGAAATGAAATTAATGTCTTCCTCAAAGACTTTCATCTAACCATTCTACCCCAAAACTCTTGGGGAAGAAAGACATAGCTAAAAGAAAGCAAAAAACAAAGACAACAAATAAACAACCCAACCCATCACTTTGACTTCTTTTATTTGCTTTTTTAAAAAATTTTTTTAAGAATTAATCAGCAGGAAGAGCCACAACTTAAAAATGTAAGTTTCCATTCAGAGTCATTCTGATGAGGCAGGTTCTACCTGGTGAAATTGCTGACATTCAGATTCCAGAATGATTCCAGTATTAATCAGAGGATTCATATTTCAAGGCTTCCCTACATTCAACCTTCTTCAGATCATTTCTGCGTCCTTCATTACCTCTTTCACTCAAAGTTATCAAGGGACAGGAAGAAACACAGCCTTTGATATTATAAGTGATGTTTCTAGGAACTGCAAAAATAACCAACAAGATATGGATCAAGCAAACCTGTAGGCGTTCTTCTCTCACTCTAGTAAAGTCACTAAACAAGTTCCACACAAGTTAATTTTGGGGGACATTTGCAGATTCTCAGATTCTAAGACCCCAAGCCTTTTTTTACAGAAGCAAACTGAAGATGATCACCCATCCATGATTCATTTGGGAGATTCTCCCTATCCAAAATGGATGGGAATTAGGGTGGCCATGAACCAGAGATGGATAAAGTTTGCCAACAAAATTTTGAGTGTCACCTTTCGCTGCATACTGAATGGCTACCTTCTTTCAACGTCATTTCCAAATACAGCTGCCAGGCTGCATTTACATTGCATACTAAACCGGGATAGTTTTAAACTCAGTTCTTTTTGTGGCTTACTGTGCTGGGCGAATTGAGACCATGTGCTTCCTTTACTGTTCAAGGTATGTGCGGTCCCAGAGAAAAGGGTTAATTCACTAACTTGGTCAGAAGCATCCACAAGGGCGGTCAAAAAAATCAAGATGGCATGTGTGACCATGCATTTGAACTCCTTCTCCTTTTAACGTTCAATCTACACAAGCATTCAAACCAGGGTTTGGCTTGGAGATTAGGGAAAATTAAACTAGCTAATACTGATCAAAACAACCCAGTTCAATCCTGCTCTGCCAGAATTCATTTCTTTTTCTCATTACCTAATTGTTAACTTGCACCCAACATAATAAGGGGATTTTGAATGAAACTCCTACATAACAAACTAGGTGGATAGTCAAAATCTTTGTCTTTGGTTTCAAATTGACCTCTGCTATGCTGTCAGTCTCTTTTGTCAGCTCAGTAAACTTTGGGGTTTCCTCCGGTTCCCAAAAGCTGTATTCAGGGATTGACACTGTGGTTGAAAACTGCGAGATGCCACCATGGTGAGACCAAAGCTCTGCCTGTTTTTTATGTGTGTTGGGGGGGGGGGGACGACAGGTAGAACTTCAATCACCCCTTCTTGACTGCCCTGTTGACCCAGGGTGAATCTTTGATCCTGCAGCACCTCTGGCTGGATTGAAAGCATTGTGAAGTAATCCTATTCTTACTTTTATATGCACTGGTCATCAGATGATGCCCAAACTCACACAATATTCTGAACTGACCAGTGAGATTCCAAAAGCTGCAACCACTAGTTCTGCTAATCCCGATCAGGTTAAAATGTGATCAGTTTTCTTATTGGCTTAAGAGGTTGTGTCAACATTGATCACTTGGTTCAAGGCATTATGCAACACCCCCCTGCCCAGTTACCTCACTAAACACGTTGGGTGAACGCCCTCTCCCACCCTGGCTTCATGCTTTTTTAGCCACCTAGTAAAGTGATATAATCATTACATAAATGAATACCACACATAGTGGTGGAATTTTAGACTTTGGACTTAGTGGCTGTTGCATTTGCACCTTAGAAAAATACCGTTATTATTTCTCTTGCTACCAAAGGTTGCAAATGAGCAGGGCCCTTCTTGGGCCCCATTTCTATTCTGCTTTGGGGGACTCTGAGCATTTGCCTGCAAATCTCCCACCAATGGCATCATGCTTTGCATGATTGTTGCAACCCACAATCAAATTAAAAAAATAATTACAATATTCTTGTCTGTATCCCACGAGATCAAGGCACATAGTTTCAGTT